TGTTCATCTAAATTATCAGGATTTGCAAGTGCACTGGATTGAAAAGAAGTCAAATCTCTCTTGCACGCACCATGGTGTGAACACCATTATATCCGCTTTTAGTTAGAGTTCAAGTCCCATAGGCAGGGTGAACATTTTAATTCAATTTCTTCGAACATCGCCCACTCTTTCTGAGAAACGTGAAGTTTTAATAATAATAATTGAAAAACATTTCTCGGTATCCTTTGTACATTTGCATGCATGTATTTGTGATAGTTACTTGACAACTACATGTACACACGGCACAATGGTGTCGCCCTCGTTTTTATCGAAGGTGAATTGGTAATACTTGAGAATCTAACGTTTCTAGAATGATACACCTCGATATTCTGCTGTATTATATTCGATGGGGGTAACATCATTTTCTATGACAAATTGATATAGGATAAATATTAAGGCAATGCATGTTTTCTTCATGTAGAATTTTAAGTTTTGCGCATATTCCATTAATTCACCAATGCCAAGGTATATATGTAAAGTGCTCGGTGTATTCATTACGCATTGAACGCAAATCATTTGCAGTTCTATTACAGTGAGTTGTGAAGCCATTCCAGGAATACAGTTAAACTAAAAGTAGGCATTTTACTTAGGTATTCTATTGAATTTCCACAACTATCGACTAACTGTCTTCTCCTTGAGGCCTTGTCTTATAGGATAATGCAAAAATTGACCGCAGGGATAACTGCGTATCCCTCCCTTCTTTTCTCGTTCATCTTCTGTGAAAGCAAACTACAAAATCACCTGACTTGCAAATTGGTGTTTTATGTTCGGGGGCGACGATGACAAATCGGCACGTGCTTCACGAAGATATTGACGTCATAGGGAATATCCTCAATTCAATGCAATCTAGATAACCACCTTTCCACGTGAAAAATAACGTGATAGCGTTTCATCTCCTTTTAATTGCGTTTTCTTGTTTTCATTTATGAATATTGAGTGTGATGCTAAGGTCTGCTTCGTATGGCTTCCGGTTTCATTGAGCCTATGGATTAACGATGACAGTTGCACCATGATGGTTTTTCTATCATTGCAAAACAAGTATGTGCAATAAAAGTATTATCTCAACAATGAAAGTGCTTTTTCATCCGTTAAAATACAAATTGTTTGCTTATGCAATTTTAACTATTGTCGCGTCATCAGGCGACAAAGGTACCATTACAAGAATAGGTACGTAGATGCAGCAGCAAATAAAATCTACTCGCGATAACCATTGCAATAGTTATATAGTTTTTGGAACTTCTGCGGACTTCATTACCACCCTCAACATTGAGTTTGCTATATGCTTTACCCACCCTGAGCTTCAGAGATAACTTGCCACTAACCTCTTCACTATAGCCTATCTTCATCGTGTCAAGTTACCTCTGACGAAAATAGTTTGACCTAGTTTATATAAGCCAATCGAATCCATGTTTCAAAATTTTTCACCAAAGTTTGGTGAAAACGCTGATTGGTTGACCGTCAATCGGCAATCCTCGGCTGATTCCGCAAGCTCCATACTAACAACAAAGTTATTGTCGAGTGCGGAGATATCCGAGTAGTTCCGAGTGCATAACCGTACACAAAGAAAGCATGGCGTCTCCTACGAGTGACTACGTAAAATAATGTGTTAAGTTATCTCTTGATTCTTTGCAAAATATGAGTATATCGGAATTGAAACCAGAGCAGTTTGAGGCCCTGCATCATTATCTACTGAGGGATGATGTATTTTGCGTGCTGCCCACAGGTTACGGCAAATCCCTGATATTCAGTCTTATCTTTGATTGGTCCGGATTTGAACAAAGCGCGCTTTGACTCGTTCGCGTTCATTGGCTAGATCGTTCAATGAGTCATTGAGTGCGGGCTTTAAATTTGATTGGCGGGCGGCGGGGGCTATCGAATGTGGTCAGAGGTAACTTGACACGATGAAGATAGGCTATAGTGAAGAGGTTAGTGGCAAGTTATCTCTGAAGCTCAGGGTGGCTTTACCAGAAGTCCCTATCCTCTCTCGGGTTGGTCTATTGTCTCAAGTAGTTATTGATGCTAGTAATTCTATGGAAATTAGTGGTCGTCTTCCCAAGACCAGATGCAACATTCCCAACAATGCTGTCAACCAGAATTGTAATCAGGTTGGTGTCTGCTCAGCGATGACGGTAGCGCCTGTTGAAATTTGATTTTTTTTTTTTTTTTTTTTTGAGGAGGGGGGTTACCGTATTTGGACTAGGGCATCCCGTTTGTATCATTTAAACTCAGTATAAAGTATAAATTACAATATAAGCCCCCGCCTGTATAGTAAGGTGGTTGATTTGTTGCCCCCGCCAAGGAGGTATCTTCGGTTCTGTTTGTTAGTTTGTTACACAAAATGGGTACATATTACCATTAATACATACTGTACCCAAATGCGGCAGGTTTGAATAGCGTCTTCCCTATCCGTCTTGCCACGCATATACCGTAACCGTATATATCTGGTTGTTGTATATGGACCTCATACGTGTTCTTTTGATACGACAGCAATGCGTTCTCGACAATCGCCGGCTCTTACGGAACGTACCGTACGGGTAGATAAGCGGATAAACGGTTTGTGTATGAAAATGCTGTGCTTGTGGCAAGCAATTTTACGTTGGGATAGTTAATTCGTGGCTGGAAACTCTAATTTTGGCGTTTGTACTCACAAATCCGAGGCTGGAGTTAGAAAACGTTTTATCCGTTTATAAGGCCTGCCAGGGCCACAGATTGACATTTCACTAGAAATTCACAGACATGTCTTTAGTTAAACGAGGGAAGTCATTTCAGCACTGTCAGAGAATAGTGCACTTGTAAAAACGACGGCCCCTTTAATGAGCATTCCGTGAAATTGTTTCAAATGTTATATGCTATGGATTTCAAACAACAAATACCTACAGACAAAAAGTACCACAGAATTTGATACTAGAAACACACATGTAACACTGCATAAACCAGGTCATATCTGTATATTTAAACTATTGATCTTCTCACACTTTTAGTTAAAACTTCACAATGGCAGCGATTTTTTAAAATTTTTTTTGAAAAGTGCCCTAACACACTAACGAATGCCACAGCACGCGCTCATTTATCCAATCATAGAAAATGAAAATTGGATAAAGTTTAATTTGGTTCTGCTTGCAAAAGTATACGAAAACAAATTATTGAAGTTGGTCATTTAAATGCACAAAATACCAATCTACCAATCTTTGTTTTTGAATTAAGTCTTGTGGTCTAGCGGCTTTAACAAAAAACCCGCCAAAAGGACAATTAGCAGCCCAGAGAAAAGCTGCAGATGTACAAACAGGAAATCCAACATAAGATACTTTATACCCTATCAAGACGGAAAATATAATGACCTACAAATTAAGATTATCCAAGAAGAAGGATTTGTTTTAAATGTTGCTTGGAAACATTCCTTTATATATGACGTATAAAGACCTGCAGCAGTCGGATGAACTATGCTTTAGTGATTTGTTTACGAACAAAAACATCGAACAGCTAGGTTTTTTTATCAGTGTAGAGAAAACAATGCCGGGATACCCTAATGCACAATTATTTCTTAGAATGAAGAGAGAAATGATAGATAAGAGGCAGAAGGTTAGAGTGGAATAGAAAGAGAGAAATGGAGTGAGGCCGATCGAGGAAGAGTTGAATGTACAGAGGATATACATCTGCCTCTTGACTACATGGGTATTTTAGAGTGAGAGAGTAGGATAGAAAAATGAAAGAAGAGAAAGGGACGGGGTGTGTGTGTGTGTGTGTGTGTGTGTGTGTGTGTGCATGTTCAAGCACGCATGTGTGTGAGACAAAGAGTAAAAAACAAATACTCAGATAAAAAAACTATATGAGTTTACGCTGTCTATAAGATATAGTAATTGACTAAAAACCCTGATATCATTTCCCCTTATATAACTGTATCCGTTATGACGTCACACGTAATCTCGGCACATTGCGCGGTCTATCAGCCTTCCTGCTTGTTATTACCTAATTTGTCGTGCGAAACCAAATACCAAAATGATTGACATCGTGAAAAACACAATCATATCCCATTATTTCCTCCAGGAAATTTGTACAGAAACGTTCACAGGTCTTTCCAGGTCGGCGTAGTCTTGGTCAGACGAAATATTAGAGACCTGCATAGCAATGAGAGACATAAAATACACTAGATATCATTTTTACAAGAAGTAATTATTTTTGCACGTAATTAAGATATTGCACACCTGAATATTTTATATCACTTGACATACAATATATATATCTGTTTGCCTCTGTGCATTCGGTACTGGTACGTTACGACCAACAGGATATATGAAGGTGCGTATGTTGGTATATTGTTCAAGCTAGTGCTGAAGTCTCTCTCTCCTCCTCTCTCCCTACGTCTCTCTCTCTCTCTCTCTCTCATATTGGTACACTTGCATACATCTTTGCATCAAATGTGTAACTTGTAATACATGTAAAACACGTTAAAGAAAAGTAGAAAAGTAAAATAATCATTATTTTAGCTCCAATCGACCATGACAACTTGTATCATGAATGAGTAAATCGGGAACAATTGATATTAAGGAAGTTGGAGCTCAAGGAAGTTGGTGATATTAGTACATTCAAGTGAATGTCAAAACTACCGATAGGTATATCCTTGGCTTGTCAATCAATATGCCATTTTCACATAAAAGGGCTGGACTTCGCACAAACGCCAGTTATTTTAGTGGCTTTCAAGCAATTGCAGTGGGCATAATTTCTGGACATACCGAGAACGAGAATAGCCTTTCAGCTATGGGCGGAGCATAATTTCTGAACACGGTCGAACGAGAGTGGCTCTACCGCTAAAGGCGGGGCATAGTTTCTGGACCTTGCGCGAACAAGAATGGCTTCACAGCTATGGGCGGGGCATAACTTCTGCTCAAGCCTATCAATTTGTATGCTGTTGGCTAAATCAGATACGAGCTTGTTTCGTTTTCACTCTCGCTGCTATACAGGGTCGTTACTTAAATCATGGTTAGTTGGCAACCCGAAGGTAACGAGGAACGCTGCATGCAGAGAGCACTTTTAGCGTTTACTTGATGATTCCATTGTAAAATGACAGCGATGGCCATTTAGACATATAAGACTGACGTAAAGAAGAATTTAGTTAGTGGAAAAAACATTAGGGAAAGGCTGTAAGACGTGTCCACTTCCATGTATTTGAAAAATGCACCAGGGACATCAAAACAAGCAAGTTGCTAGTAGTTTCGAGGAAAGAAGTGGAATGATCGCAACTGGGGATGTTATGAACAAAACGGCTCGGTAAGTAGCGCGCATGTTGCAGTTGTTTTATGTCTTCCGTGAACTGAGTTGCTGAGAGACCTGAGAGATTAAAAGCGAGCAAACAGGAGAATTAACACTTAAGTATATAACTAGAGCATATTCAAGTATTTGGTATTTTTAAAGATAAGTCTAGATATGTCAATTAGAAACGAAGGCAAAATATGTCTTTGGCCAATCTTTTTTTCGTTTTTGGAAATCAGAATACTATATGCACGTTTTGTGAATATAATTTAGGAATTTATTTCACTTTCCCTTTTGATACTCACTCAAGTTGCCTTCTGGAATTCTTGGCTGTGGACGTACAAAATAAATTTTGATGGCCTTTAATGAGATATTGGCGCAAAGTTTTACTTTGAATAATACTTCTTAGAAAAACAAGTACATTTAGTGACCATTTCTAATTATAATGGTAATAAAACAGAACCTCTTGCAACACGTGTCATGTCACGAACTCATCAGTCTCGAGAGATGAAATCATAAATATGCGCGGAAATTGTTACATAACGAGCTGAATTAATGATTGGACATCACGAATTCTAGGTCTTATTATCCATTGTCGGTTAGATAACTATACTGTATCTTTTTCACAGTTCAACCTTAGCTATCCTAATCTCTTGGCAAATGAAGGCACGTCTTTCGGTATATGATAAACTTTTATTGATAAAACACCTTCGCAACAACACAAGGACAATATGTTACAATTTAATACAATAAAAGAGGAATTAAGAAATTGTGTCTTCACTAAAAATCACTTTTGTTGTAGAAGACCGTTTATCAGTGCACCGCATTAGTATATACACAGTGCTCTGAGATTGAATAGACTTGTGAAGAATCTTTTGTCTATAGCTACTTAAATTTGTCTGGTCTTACCAACCAATATTTCATCTGCTTGCAGTCAGACTTCATCAGATTCAGATAGAAGTTTTGTAAGCATTGCGAGCTACTTATTACCCTAGTAGCAGTTTATCTTATTTTTATGATACAGCACGTACATATAAGCATGATATATTTAAGCAATACTGTCTTGAGTTAAGTTGCTTTTCTGACATACATCTTTGCCATCATAACTGAACTGTAGATAACCGAACGCCTATATATCATTAGTTTCTGAAAGATAACAATGTATTTATTTATAACGGAAGTTGATCAGGTACCGAAGTCGCCTCATGAACAAGTTCGGGACAGGACGGTGAAGTTCACGTATATATAGCCTACGTATCAAGACTATCTATTGAAATGTTCCTTGAATACCACACACTGGGATGGCTTTCAGAATAACTGGCGACGTCCGTTTGCAATGGAAGTCATGTTAAAAAAAACAGACTGTGACGTGATACAGAAGCGTTTTGGGTGAGATTCATGTTAATATAAACACTTGTATATTACGGTACTGCGTATGATGGACAATAATATTTTATTAATGATACATGAATGAATGAATAAATTGATGCATGGCCAATTCTTCAATTCGGTATGCGTAATGGCCAGACGTTGACGTCATTGGAAATGTCACAGCAATGGCAAGCTTAGTATACAGTTACGTAATCACACCTACAGATTCTACAAATCGATAGGTATAAAATCTCGCTTACAACCTGAATAATTGCTCTTTTCTTGTCCAAATTATAAAAATTCCCGGCAATTTAATATCCCGAAGATACACCGTGTTACTAGAGAATTGTTTATAATTTAAATAATGGACTAAAAAAATGTATTGTACAACGTAACGAATGCACATGTAATTGTTCAGTGCACAAGTTTTTTTTTTCTTTTAAACACCTGTAAGCTAAAAAAATATGCCCAGTTAAGAAGCAACCAAAGGTTGCAAGAGGACAATTAATCTTTTGAACTAAAATTATCAGGCACAGCAATAACGACAAAACGCAGCTATTCCGTGGTTACTGACACCTAAGGTCTGTAATTGCCTTTGACTTTCTGCTTTGACCAATTTGCCGCTAACTTGGTAATTGAGGCGTCGACTAAACGATGAATAAAGGTTGACCTTCGATACAACCAATTTGCTTAAAGCTGATCTTGAAGATCTTTCCAAATTGGCAATATAAATTAGATTCTCAACAGCCAATTTTCATTAATTGTGTACTCATAACGCCCTGCAGCAGGGGCCAATTCACTCACGTAAGCGATAAGATAGTCTTAGAATCAAACCAATATACAGAAAGACAGAGAGTCAGTCAGTCAGACAGACAGACAGGCAGGCAGGCAGGCAGACAGACAGACAGACAGCAAACTGGTGGTCAAATGGACAGATAAGAGCATTACCCGTAGTGCTGGTATTACAGCGATAGCTGTACATGTATACTGACAGTTTCTGGTTGACCACAATCCCGTTGGAATGTCAGAAGAAGTTTTTATTAGTGTAAGTTCATTTACAGCATTGAATTTATATGATTGTTCACTGGTCACCAAAAGTTCAGCTTGCTTTAGTCTGAGAACTTATTGCATTCCTTTCTCGTCGCCTTAATATTACACTAGCGATGCCAATATCGCTCATTTCCCTGGGTTGCAAACGGTACGGGTACTTGGCAAAATACACCAAAATATAATCGCTCCATGTTAAGGTCCTTAGGCTTAGAACAATACGCGGGAATGCAGCTCTAAAATGCATGAAGTACAAGCAGATTATCACCTAGACGTTGTCTGAAGGCAAAAGAGACTTATCATGAACTGGGAGAAAGGAAAGGTTACCATTTAATAAAAATATCCCTGAAATACTAACTTTCTGAAATCTCTGGCGGTGGTGTTGAGGGTGGGGGAATGCACTCCACCCCCCCCCCCTTCCTAGGCATTCGATCCTGCTGTTATACGGTTTAATCCCATCAATCTCAAGATGACAGCGTTAGGAAGCACAGCACTGAATGGCTTAATTCTTATCATGTCTGCTGGACTAATTTCTATCACGCAAATTAGTATTCGTATCATTTTCCAACTTTTTTGTTTTGAAAAGCAATTCGTACCATCTAATCGTGAAAATATATCATTTAAATTCATGCTTTCATGCAATTTTAACACAATTCTCTTAGCTGTTGGTTAATAACGCAGTGCTTTTGTCAGTTTAATATACGTACATTGTATATGCATCATTCATTATCATTCATTCATTATTCAAGTTGGTGCTTATCAAAAGACATCGATTGCCTTTTAAAAGAACACATATCCCACATTTGGTCCGTTCAAATGTTAAAAGCCTCGAGACCTGAGGCCGCATTAACTCTGCCCATTACCTTGTGAATACCTGAACTTCTTGCAACTGTTTTCGCAATCATTTATGGCATTTGGTACAGATTAGGCTAATTTTTGTTAAAACATGGAGTCGCAATGTCCAAATCAATTTAAGTACAGGGCCGTATTTGTAGTGTGCTGATTAAGAAATGAAATATTTAGATTTTTGATTAATAAAGTCCATGCACGTTAAAGAGCGTGCTGTAGAATAATCGCTTTGGCAAAACTCACTCAGGTTAAATAAGCGTATGAACCCGCTAACATCTATCACTGATTCCGACAGCGTGTTGACAACTCACTTCCCCATATTGCACTGCGTACCTGTTAAGATCATAAACCAATATCTGGATTGTATCAGCATTTCTTCAGTTGATCATTACTGGACTCCGTTGGCAACTTGCCATGAGCCCCATTCAGACTGAACCCAAATAGTGAAAAATAGTTTCATTGGATCTTAGTTTTGATAGTCAGAAAGTTTTCATTTATGATAGATCCTGAAATTTTGATTAACCTGTTGACTGTTTCGTCTGTTCACTCTGACAGACTTGGTCAAAATTTCAGGATCTATAATTATGAAATAGATACAGACTGCAACAAAAGGAGACGAACTACGAACCGCTTTATTGCAACGTTTTTTTTCCTACAGGAAAAAGGCAAAAATTGAAAACGAGATAAATCAATTATTTCCTCTCGCCAAAAAACATTTAACACCCGTTAAGCAAAAACAGAACGGCAATTATAATGCAAAAGCCCAAGCAACGGCGAATTGAAGCACGTGCGAAACCGGCAATAGCATTATGTAAATATTCCACAATATCAATCAAGAACAACGTAACCGAATCAAAAAGCTTTTAAAGGCTTTGAATCCCTCTTTCTGGGCAGAGTTTGCTGACTGCCAGAAATATTCCCCGATTGGAAATAGGAACCCGCACTCAGAGTGCTTCTTTTCCAATACAATTGTGAAAAAAACTTAAAAGCTGATCTTTCACTCTAAACACAGAAGACATTATTCTACTTCATCTACTTGATGACATTAAGATCGAATTGCCGTCTAAAAACCGTAATGCCAAACACAATGTTGTTTTAGCGACTGATGATAATTACACATGGTCACAAAAGTAATAAATAATTGCACAAAAGCTTAATGGTATTTGCTAATGCTGTGTTTGGAAGAGAGAGAGACTAGCGGAAAAAAGATCTTGCAGACAGACAGTGAAAACTCGATGAAACAGATTAAGCGGCTCCAGAGAAAGAGAGGCAATAACTGGGATTAACGGAGATAGTCGTGGTATGATCACGTCAACGCGAGAAAATAATTAAGGTGAGTGAGTAGAGGGGGGTGCAGGGGGGGTGCACGGGGGGGAGCTGCTTCTTACTGACAACTACCCCCAACGCGCACACCGTTAGAAATAGAAATATCTTCAAATATAATAAAAACACTATAAACAAGTTACAGAGACTATAAATACAGAGACTATCGATGTTTCGTGTCATTTTCTCCATATATATATATATATATATATATATATATATATATATATATATATATATATATATATATATCACGGAGAATAAAGTTGATACACTATGGAAAAGTGCTCCACCCATGGTGACGGAACAAATTAGTCTTTTCTCTCCATTTAATTTAAAATTTAAAAAGCCCGACACGTGTTTCGGCCCGGAGGCCTCGTCAAGGGCGCAAACAGAACAAAATACAAAGATACCTAAAGATGTTATGCGATTATACGGTATTATTGGGTTTTAGGAGTGATTTATGGGTGAAATACGAGTGCTCTCTCTGCGTATGTATGTATGTCAATATTTCAAATAATAATACACTTCCACATTTCTTGATTTATACCTTGAAACCCTCTCTGACCCTCAAGGTGTTATATATGTAGCCAGTGACAGTATATTATCTAGCACAAAACACATCCAATATCTGCCGGTATATACATCATTGTGCTCGAAGAAATCCCCATGGGGCCTGTTTTATTCACATTCACGTAGCTGTTCCACGTTAAAAATCACGGTGTTTGAAAAGCAGGCACTGCCGTGCGCGTAGAGGTATTTTGCACCGATAAGTCTGCGTGGCATATACTACGTGCTTATCACACATAAAATCATGAACATCAATTAGCAGACTCTCCAACGCAATACGGTCAATTTTCCCCAGTAAATCGAAGGCCAATCCATCATCCCTCCGGCTTATAATGAAGCTAACGCCATATGGGTAATGATAAAGCGTGTCACGCTATTTCACAGATCAGGACGTACTCTAGTTACCTGCTAATTGCTGCCTTAATGTGTATTACATTGGAAAATTCGGGTTTTCAGTCGCCCAATAGGCAATTAACACTGCGGAAATGGCGCTGGACGCGCTTGAATAGATGGACTAATACAACGGTAGGGACGAAAAGCACTTCCAAATAATTAGACATTTAATAAACAGGTGGGAATCCAATTTCATTTGGCACCATATATTTAATGCATAACGGCTCAGAAAAGATCATAAATTTGTCCTCGAAAATTTGTCCTCGCTGAACAAAGACCGAGGCAACCGAAGCGCCAGAATTGAAAAACACAAACTACCAGAGGAAACAGCGCAACGCAATTAAACTGATGTGCTGTGTTCGTGCACGGGTCGAATTACTAAACAACATTTCCAGACAGGTAAAGCGAACCTGGAAAAATACAGTGTTTTGTGTGACTATACAAGCAGGTGTGTCTTTGACTGTGACAGCATGCAGCTATGAATATAGGTAATTATAAGTTTGTAAACGTATGCGTCTGTACATTCAATGTGCTCTGACTTAATTACGCTCGTGTTTATATGAACGTCATCGCCATCGTCCAAATGTGCTCGTATGCAACAGACAAACAGGCTAATATGGGCAAAATTGTCACATAAATGGTTTCATGTGAAAGGCAAATGGGGACGCGCTGTCAGTATGGCGTAGGCAGAGAGGGGAAAAGTGCATGGTTGCATGTTGTCTACCATATTAACTGCACGTGCATGAAACCCTTTAGACAATGTGTGCATGTGTAACAAATGGCGTTGGCAGAGGGGAAAAGTGCATGGTTGCAAGTTGTCTACCAGATTAACTGCAAAGGCATGAAACCCTTTGATCAATACGTGCATGTACATGTATAAGAAAGACGTTCGAAGTGCATGTGGTACTTTGTTATTTGAAAGAAATCACTCGGTATTTTAAACTGTTTATTAGTTTAAAAGGTGCATGGTCGCATGTTGTCTACCAGATTAATTGCACAGGCATGAAACCCTTTTGACAAGACATGCATGAATAACAAATGTATTCGAAGTGCAAGTGGTAGTTTGTCATTTGAAAGGAGTCGCTCGGTATTTATACACTGTTTATTAGTTAAAAGACCTGTTATGTCCTTTGCTTCTTTAAAAAAAATCTCCACCCCTCTTTACGATTGTATAGGTAAATATTTTTACATCTAAAAATGAATTACAATTGTACAAAGTGCATCACCGGTCACAGGCCTGGCGACGGCGGAAGTTCTTGGGGATTGAAGGAACCACTCTTTTGATCGGGAAAAGATCCACTGTATGTCAGAATTCTATCTAGTGGGTACACACGTAGATTTTTCAGTAAAAAAAGTTTAATTTTACGGATCCCCCTCCTCAAAAAGTGCTGACTGCAGGTCTGTATACCTCATATTGCATGTGCGATAAAAAGACAAAGTAAAGTACGGTAAAACTATGACAAGTAGTTTGTCAAGATGTTTCTCGTGGCAACTCCTTTTATTTTGGCTATTGCTTATTCATGTTCTCTAGATGTACATTTCTCTTTTTTTTGACGAAAAAAAAACGGAAACAAGAAAAACGTCGATTGGATTTCTTTGTAAATGGCGCAGCTTTTTAGCACTTAAACAAAAGATTTGTATTCCATGTTTGGTATTTGTATAATCGGCTTACTGTGCGTATATCCCTAGATTCATTACCACGATCGGAAAGCAACGTTATTAGATTTCGTATTCAGTTCTGCAACCTTTGCAGCCGTGTAAATCTGCAACCTTTAACGTAATACTTTTTCCATTTGATATTTGTAACGAATCATAATGCGGTATAATCGGATGTTTCGTAGAGTGAAGCTAAGCACCAAACAAGGGAGAACAGCATGGGATTGTCTGGCAGTTACGCCATTAATCACAGCAGTATACCGCCACTAAAGTTGACGCACCTGAGTCAGTGGTTATTGAATTTTCCTAGAACAGCTCACATTTCTATGTAGTATGTATGTATGACCAAGGGGTTAGGCCGAGGTCCAATTTTCGTTGAATTGCAGCATTAAAAGTGGCTTTTCCTAACAACTTAATTGCCACTTGTTTTGCTTTTTTTTTTCGTGGAAGAACTCGGCCTTGTAGTTTCATTGTATCTGTTTGTCATTGTTTGACTGTGTTTGCCATTAAGAAAATGACCCAGAAGTATTTTCTTCAAATACTATTAGCAAGCCGTGTTTTAAAGCAGTATATATGTAAACCGGTCTGTAACTCCTGTTTAACCGTATAATATTAGCCTAGGGGAATTATCGTTCAAAAGAAGACACCAGATCATTTTGGTTTGTGCTCTTACTTTATCCTGTTTTATCGCACTGTTTGGGCAGTCCCTTGCGTTGAATGTCATTTCCTATAGTACACTTGCTGTCGTGCGAATATCTCTTGCGGATTTAAGTAAACAATACGTATGTTAACATACGTAATCACCCGTCATGGTGTAAGTAACATCCATGCATATATTTTGAGAAGAATTCAATATCAGGGGAAATGAGAGGCCTTGGACGTTCTGGGCCCAGTTTTATAAAGGAGGTTTAGCACTAACCAGTGTTTAACTCTAACCAGACCTAAACAGTCTGTTAGAAACTGACCTTTAAATAATTATTTAATCCAGTTAAACACTGGCCAGTTAACTAATTTGCTGTTTTCCGTCAGAAGACTGTATATGAAACACAATTTAACCATCTTTTAGTTAATGGGTGTTAGGAGAATTTATCCACTGGTTAGGCTTATCCACTGGTTAGTGCTAAACGTCCTTTATACAACTGGGCCCTGCTTTATGGGGATCTCACCTAAAGATGATTTACAGTCACTGTGAGAACATGTATGTATGTATGTGGAGTCAGTGGAGAATTTAAATACATAAATTATATAATAAAAACACACGCACACGCACGCGTACGCACGAAAGCGCATGCAAGTTCATTCCTAATATCTATTATCTTTGTCCTGTTTCTTTGACATATCCACTTAACAGTGTTAATACACAATATGCTGATTCGTGATATATTTATCGCATAACATAAACGCGTGTGCTGATGAAATCCACACCCGTACAATACGATATTCACACCGGTACAGCACTAATATATTTTGATGACATCCCTGAGCCCATTTAATTAACAGAAAACGCATGGTTCTGTCCATTATTGGTAACACGCCGAAATGTTACAAATTAGCGGTGCTACTGCAAAGAAGAATGGCCGTCTAGATTTTCCTAATAGTCATTTGGTTGGACATCCAATACGCTGCCATGTGTTTTCAATTAATGATTATGTTTTCAACCAGCCCGCATTACAAATAACGTATTGTTCACAGAAACCTCTCGTTATTCCATATTATATTACCTTACAAATTAGGTACATGTACATGTATTCCACGGAGCATGGTGTTGATAGCAGGCCGCCAGTTATTCAGTCTGAAGTGCTCTCTGTGGAGCATATTCCTGCATACATAATAGGTATGGTATCTAACGTTATTTATTCTTGGGCAATTTCTTTTCCAGGGAAACAACAAGTTGCAACTGCGAGCATTCCATGTTGATTTAGCTTAAGCAGCCGGTGGTAAAGGAACCCTTGTCTTATACACAGCTGCCGACTACCTCACGAGAAATTAAAATTTCTTCAAGTCAGGTGACAATCTAAGTAGACTGTACTCGTTCGTTTTTGGTTGGACTCAGAAGACAGCAAATTCAGATAGAGTTGAAGATAACTGAAATACTTCGAGTTTGGAATTCAAAAGACAAAGACATTTTTTTCACAGATTTGGAATTGAAAAGACAAAGACATTTTTCACAGATCGGGTAGGAAAACATATTAGATGAAGGAGAACGCATCACAGGTTATTCAGCCCAACTGGACAGGAGCGTGCATAAACTGACTGGATTGTAAAAACAGAATATAAAGATGCACTAGTGACTGCTTGCAGCATTGTAGGTTATCAAACTGCCAGTGACTCTTGGGAGGTCTGACGGAGAAAAACTGTAATTAACAAGCTGAACACAGATTTCTGATATCCGGAGACTGCCATAATTTCAAGACTACAAAAACTAAATCAACCACTCTTAACTTTCAAGGATAACATAATAGATTATTCCATTTTGGAAGACCTAGAAAATCGGCAAGGTGTGACGTCATCGTATATTTCCAACGTGTGTTCCAACGTGATGTGCTGAGTGCAACTGATTTCTTCTGAAAAAAGAATCGGACATCAAGACGCAAAGACGCTAAGGTAAGTTTTCACCTTTGGATACGGTGCAGTATTTTTCAATGGTAATAAGTGTGCTATTACGTGTTTATCTCTTACATTTTTAGAAAGTAGCTTTAAAAAGGATGAGATTTCTGAAGTTTTTTTGGTCTGGTCGCAACGCTAAATTAAACTCACAATCTGTTTGAAATTACATCTCTGTAAAAGCAGGCGATAGCTGGACATGTGTTTTCACATAGCTGATTTTTTGTGCAAATCGACAATTTGAAGTGTATTTTTTAAGATCCGCTTCCATTTATTTGCAGATTTTGAATGGATATGAGACGTGATCCTAATAACGTGAAAGAAAAGACTAATTGAACTCAAAAGAGAGGTCCATATATCGATGGCGTTTAATGATCACTTAATCTAGGAATTACGATTTTCGCGGCACGTTTACCAGTATTACATGGTTCATCACTACTACTGTATAGACATAACGGAGATTATTAGAGCTTACCATTGTCTTGGAATCTTGCAATTTAAATAGACAAACTCATACAGTTCTTGGAACTTGGAACCAAGTGTTAAAACAGATATTGTACTTTTGGGACCTTCAGATATATCATTACTACTGTATGAAATGGTTATAGAAATGGTCTATATTTCACTAGATACACAGAAATTCGCTTATTTTAGAAGCAGCGTGGTGGATCACTTTAAACGGTCACGCTGAAAGCACGCCATAGCCACAGTGAAAAATTGTAGGAAGAAATGAGAAATGGTTACTGTTTAGATTACACGGCCGCCTAAAGAACCCTCCCACTTGCTTTGTGGCAGAAGAGAGACACTCACGCACACACACATATATATGAAGATAAGCCACAAGCAGTGATGGTGCGTAAGCCATTTTGGTCAGAATTGTTACATGAATTATCAGTAAAGGTGGATTTTGGACGCCTTTAGATTGAAGGCTCTGTTCCAGAGTCAAGAACTGAGTGCAGAGTTTGGGATTTGGTCGAAAAGTGAACCAGACTCTCCATTATGTATTTTTATCGTTAATTAAACAATGTTGCATAGGTATTATTTTAGACTTAAAAAAGAACCCGAATCACCAAGTCTCTGTAAAATCCAAAGGATATCATTCTGACTTAAAATCAACAAAGTACAATTTTTTTACAAGTGCTTTTAATTTATTAACTTTCCAAAATGGCCAACATCGGAGAAGATAATATAACAATACTCGACTGCGACGAAAGCAAAAACCCGGCTTGGGAATACAAATACGCTTTCACAGTCTGGGTGATGGGGGCCATTTGCGTGTTTGGAATTATGGGGAACGTGATGGCCTACTTTGTGTTGCTGCAGGATAAGACGAAGCTTGTTCACTTCTATCTCCTTCGGTCTCTTTCATGCGCAGACTTTTGTTTCTTAACTTCGACCTTTTTCATGGTGGTGGTACCAAATTTCTGCCTGAACACGGGACAGTGCATCGTGTTCTATCACGGGATTTACGCTTACATGGAAGCTTACATGTGGCCTTTCCACAGCATGGCGAATACGGCAAGCAAATGGTTCCTGATTTTAGTGGCAACCGAGCGCTTCATTGCCATGTGCAGGCCCTACCAATACACTACTTTGAACAACATGAAATATGCTCAATATGGCGTAGTTGTTCTTACCGTATTTCTCCTAATATACAACACCCCGAAATTCTTCGAGGCGTACGTAGAGCACATCAACTGCACCGATTATTCAAAGGCGGTTCTACGGTTCACCGACTTGGCTAAAACCCATTCGTACAAGGTAGTCTACACGGCCGTCTTTGATTTCATGGTCTACGTTCTTTGCCCGTTGCTCATTCTTCTCGTAATGAACGCCAAGATCATCATGGCACTAAGACAGCAGCGACTCAGCAGGAAGAGAATGGGCAGGGGAGACAACTACGATACCAACATAACAATGGTACTGGTAATCAATGTCCTCGTGTTCATTACCTGTCAATTGCCTTCGATATCAGTCGCCGTGTACAACGCCATTGGGGAAAAATCAGAGACTTACCAGAATTATTTTGTGCCTTTTAACAACGCGCTGGTTACCTTAAATTGTGCTATAAATCCTATTATATACTGTACAGTTGGACGGAGGTTCCGACAACTCATGAAGGAGTGTCTCTGTGGCAAGCAAGCAGCGAAGTACAAGAAGAAACGGCAAAAGCAGAAAAGTGAAGTGTCCATCCCAAAAACAACATCTACGACAGTTGATCTTGACTGTGTGAAAACCTGTGACAAGAATGCCCAGACAAAACCGTTGGTGCAAAATAGCGTATAGAACTGTTCAAGTATTGTATTTCAATATATATATATATATATGTAAGGTGTAGTATCATGAGTAAATAGGTACATGTAGGGGATACATGTAGCCGAGGGATTGGCGTTATACATTAAACTATCTAAGCACATTTTTTGCAAGCTATTTTAAAGTTGACGCACCTGTCCCTTTTAAGCTTGGAAGTCTGGTTTTAACACCATAGTCACATTTAGTAGTAAATGTATTTGTCGTTGCAAATTAACGACTTTACAAATAAATGCGTACAATTTTAATAACGTTAAGTAGCCATTTCTAGTTTAGGTCGGTAGATTCATAACCAATATGTCGGTGTCTAGCTGTATAAGAATTTGCAGATATTTTTACTTTTACAAAATATGACCCTTAGATGCTTATATGATTTCTTTGAATGTTTTGCCGGACATTTTGGGGACATTTTACACCCTTTTAAGGGGATGAGTTACTTAAGTGTGTACTTACGTAGGGCTGTTTGTACAGGAAAGAAACGCGAAAAGGAAAACATTGTAATCCCCCACTCTTCACAGAAGTGTAAATACTTTTTAATTATTCTGACATTCATATATATATATGAGTTGATTGAATATGGGGTCTGTTTTGTTATTGGTTATAAACCGTATGATTGTAGCTTTTCGTACTTAGTATACCGTAGAAGCAACCTTTGCATTTCAGCAAAGACGCGTTTCACAAATATTCGTTTTAATATATATTTATTTATATATATATATAATAGAAGTGGCACATTAAGTCTCCTTTATGTTGGCAGGCTCGTATATTATCTGAAGATAAAAATTCAAATCTGTTGTTTTATGTAGATATGTAGTGTCAATACACATCGCAGTGCTCTACCCGTAAGTTTATTTTCAGCTCAGCACCGTTAACCTTAATCACTTTTTATCTGTTGTCAATCTGTTACATATAATTGAGCCGGCGTTTGTGTGAATACGATCACTTGCCGTGATGACAGTAGGCAGTCTAGGCAAATATCTGATAAATATTAGATGTTACAAAACCACATTCTCTTTTGTTATACAACAGGAGATTGGTGATGAAGCGCACTTCATATTTAATAAAACACATATTGTGCAACAGTTGTCGTGAAGTGCGAGTAAGTGCAAAAATCAGTACAGTAGATAATGAAGAACTTACGGGGAAAATGTGTTTAATAATTACATGTTCTGGGTGACTACTTTATGTGAACCAATTCACGGACAGGATTAAGTAGGTACAGTGAATAAGGTGACAACATGTTGCAATCGAGAACAACGCCCGTGGCCTAACATTCAGCTAAGAGTGCAAAAGAAGTGTGTATTCATAATTTTGGTTTTTGAACTAATCTATTTGATTTATTGTTAGAACAAATAAGATCTGAATCATCGCAGCACATGGCAATCGTCTTAATGGATCTTGGGATAGAAAAAAGTTGGTTTCTTTATTGCTAAACAGTGAATCATATGAAAACACGACATTTAAAAACATTTGATTTCACTGACTGAATGGAAGCTTTAAAAAAAATGAAATTATCTTACGCGTGCTTTAAATGGTGAATGAATTGGTGGCGATGAGATTTTAAGTATACTTAAAATGGTGAAGAACTTAGTGGTAATGACAGAAGTTGAAAAACACCAATAATTGAAAAAAATGACAAGTGAAATAAATTGTAGCGCAGTTTTTGAATGAATGGATAAACAAACTTTTACACGGGGCATTAAAGCAAAGATATCAATAAAAGCTTACAAAATTATTTAAAGCGTAGGTATGCCGATGTAGCTAATATTTTTGTAGATTACTACAAACATTTGTGGACAGAAATTTTAATTTTAACATGTTTTAGAAGCATTTTCACCACTTGTGCTAATCTCATGTTGGCTATGGTCTCAATTGGATGTCTTTTTGCGTATTCATTTAAACATAAGTCATAATTACAATTCCGTGATCTTTTATTGCAAATATAGTTATGTAAAGATAGATGTTATTACGTAATAAAAGTTCATATTTGTATTGGAGCAATTCGTTTTATGAATTTATGCATTAATATTTGGAACGGTTAATGGCAATTCGGGCTCCAATGTTGACTAGAAAAGCATATAGCATGGCCTGTGGGCAGTCCTTGTGCCAGCTAGCCCTCTGTTTCATGAAAAATCAAAAGTTTTCTGACTTACAGGTAGCTAAACTTAGAAAGCTAGTGTGCCAGGAATGAAAGTCCTAGGTCCCATATGATCAGTACAAGTTACAGTTAGTTGAAGTATTCATCTGTAAGTATATGGGACGAATGTCACCTGTGCAAAGTAATGGGGAACGGACTACGGCTCCTAGCGGACTACCATTCCTGTCACATTGGTCGCCTTGTATTCCATGCGTCACCGTATATATGTACACAGATGCCTGATAACGGACTGTTTCAATTATGTGCAATGTTGTTTGGCGGGAAAACTCCAACACTCTTTAAATAAAACAAAGCATCTGTATACCACCAAAAAGACCTGCACAGTTTTCAATGGTCAGCTGGACACTGCTGGTATCTTATAATTGGAGAATAACATAAAACGGTTTGACATTTGTGTGCTTGGTCAGTTAATTGATCGCCTGTTGTACTTGTTGAAACTGACATCCATAGAACCTTGTCAATAGTTATATATTGTTTGACGCGCTCAACCCTAAGAAAATCTGGATCAGTTTTTTTTTCTTTTTTTTTCCTATAGCCATGACGCTTTTGACGCTTATAACAATGGCAATAAACCTGCAATGCAGGCACCCAGTATATTAATAAAAATTCATGTTCAGCACATGTTCAGAAAAATGCAAATAATCCCTTGAAGTATAGTTAAATTGCAATGAAATAATGCATAGGAAATCCATTTAAAGAATTTATACTGTTGCCCCCATTCTTATTTAAGCTGGTCCTCTCGTTGGCCTGGAAACCAATACACTGAGACACTAGTCTAGACATGTCTGTCGTGATTTCTTCATACTTGATGCCCGATTGACGGCATTTTCATTTTACAGGTTTGCACTCTTGATCAAATTGACGTTTTACATAGTTAAAGGAAACGATTACGGCCGTTTTTAGATGCTGTAGCAGTTTAGTGAATCTCCTTTTTCTGAATAACCAGCAAAAAAAAAACATCTATGAATATGACATCTGATCATTCCATGTTTACTTCGGTACCTTTTATTGGGAGAGAACTGCTGAAACTTTTACGGAATTATTCTCAATAGAGAAACGAAATAAAATCAATTAATTATAGATGTGGTATTTTAAAATAGAATGGCCGTTGCGTTTAATTGTCCCTTGCACGCGCCATTGCTTTTGCTCCATTCATTCTTTGCATTTTTACAAAGAAAAACAGCGTTTTACTAATGTACTCAAGAATGCTGGTTGTCCTCTCTGGCGATCCGTAACGACAAGACGTACGTCTGTAAACGTTTCCGTTGTCTATTAAATCATGATGCGAAATCGTTCATAATCTAACAGGTACCTGTACTTGGCGTTAGACTTGAAACATAGCCTGAACCAAAGAACCCTGATAGAAGAAACAAATTGATGCACGTGTACATTTATATGTACATAAGATTCCCGTGGATATGAATATCTGATAATGTTACGCACTTAACGCCAATCCGACGCTTGAACGACTATTAACGAACGGTTAAAAGCAGTACCTCCTGACCTGCGTTTGCTTGGATGGCAAGAAAAGAATTAAAGAAAAATTGCATCAGCCGTTCGCGGAATTCATTGTAAAATATTAATTGTGAAAAAGAAAACCTCGTGATAATTTGTCATAATCCTTTGTTTAGAACAGTATGATATACACAAAGAAGATAGAGAGAGAGATATTAGTACAAGTTTGCACAGATAAAAGAAGCCACACGACCCATTTTTACGCCATACATGTACAACTCGCCTGTGCAACTCAATTGTTCATAATGGCAGGTGCGTGCGTTGCAAGACAAGCTGCTCTCATAAAGATGAGCGCTCTTCCGGGTGATTCGTTACAATGTGACGGGCGTTTCCTTGCACATGTTCCCCTTTCCCGCACAGACTGCAATTGATGGGGAAACCAAATATTTTTGACAGATGTAAATAATGAAAATTGTCTTTCCTTTCACTGCGTGCGAGGAAATATTCAAATGGACCTATATACGGAAAGCTTGTTAAACATGGACAGATGTTTGATTATTTTTTCTAAATTGAGCTAAGAAATTGCATGGTAGTCATCTCTCATAAATTGCCTCCCTGTGAACAGATTTTACTTTTCTTTTAAAATTCACTTTCCTTTTAATAATTTAAAAAGGAAAAAGACACATGTGTCTCAGCCCAAATGAACATTTTACATCAAAAAGAAAGATCATTTGATGCATTTCATTTTCATTTGTCAAAATTGACTTCTCTCTGAAGATTATGTACGCTGAAGCTGCTCTTATCAATCTGATCTCTCTCTATCTCTCGTCTAATAGTATGTGGGTGAATGTTCAGTGTGTTTGTGTGTTAATGTGCACATGTTATGTTAATTATTTGTCAATATCTAGAAATAATTTATGGCTCATGGCTTGACACAATAAACTAGCATCCCTTGAGTGAAAGGAATTTACCGAACGGCTCGCTTATTGAAATAAATAACGTTTCTAGGATAATTACTTTTTATGTGGCCAGTCACATCTAAATGATGATATCCAAAACTAATTCGATTTTCAAATCTGTTTCATCACAGCATACATCAATATTTGACTAAAAAAGAGTAGCATTACACGAATTTCGAGGAAAAAATTTAACACCTTATGCATCATATCTGGTGGTGAAAGTGCGATCCTCCCGTAGCTAATATGATTATGCTCACAATTTTTATGTATCATTTTATGTCAACTTAATGTCATTACTTAAAACATATTTCTACCAAAATGCATTTTCCTGAAAAAGAAAAATATTTTTCTTACTTACGAGTCATTAATCGACCCGTCCCTTTACTTGGATTCGATATTGCGTTCCATTTTTTAAAGATGCATATGAACTCAATTTTTTTTTCTACAAAATCCGAGCAAATGTCACCACATAGTTTCAAATAGCATAACTTAGAGAATACCATAAGGCAACGTTTCATATTACCTGAAAAATTATACTTGAATAGATTTTTCCGCTTGCTTTCTATGCTGTATTTAAATGGGGCAGACAAGTAGTTCAGATAAAGAGGTTAAGTTTACGACTAAAAATTTAAAGAACGTGCAGCTTAAAGCTCTTTTATGGCTGATCGAATGATTAAAACGATTTATCCCCTGACATGTCGACTTTATTTGAGTCGTATAAAAAACTAATAGAAGTGGTTTATATGCGTGTTGCTGGGAATCCATACCCCACCTTCGCTTAGTATATATGTACCTATAAATCCAATCATTTACCTCTAAATGACTGGCCAGTCGTTAAGAACGACATCTGCCTTCCCTTCCTTCCCCCAGCGTGGCCTATATGTATTTTTATTACACAAAAGAACGGTGCAGTGTTTTATACCGCGGCCCTATGTCGTGTACCTAACAAATTAAAGCCGATAATATAACAGCGACACAAGGTTAGTTTCAGATAAACTTTTATTTGAGAGGGGTTTATCCCTTTTAGGTCCAAAAGGGATAATGTGAGAATATTTCCAGGATAAGAATATGGTTGTTGGACTTTTTTCAAACGTTATATCTTATAAAGCAACAGGTAAAAACGTGAAACCTGAAACATGTCCAAGGTGCAACTCGTTTACATTTTGACACATGCAAAATAGGCCTAAAGTGAAAATTATAAAATATATTTTCTGATAAGTACATGTACTTGTACTCTCAAAGCAGGCACACCGATTACAGACGGCCATGAGCGTAATACCTACCTCTTGGGGATCTACCAGTATAAACATCACGTTAATCCATAAAATTTTATTATCATTGAACCATCCCATTCCTTTCATTCTGAGTCAGATCTTTACTCAGGCATCACCTCTTTACCCAGTGCATCGGATGATCCAATAAATGAATCCCCATTGAGGGATATTGCCTCTAAAACAATGAACAGAAAGAGAGTTAGTATCTGTGTCTAATTGAATTGATGAACATTAAAGCATTTCGCAAAAGCCAAATGCACACTTTAAGATTATAAATTACAAGGAGCTTTCCACAGTATGCTTGTCATCTTCGTCTGTTTTGCGACTACCAACGTGGTGTTTGAGAGGCGAGCTAAAGGTGACGTAAACTTCCTCTGAAGGTCATCTTGGAAACTTGAAGGCATGGCTCGGCCAGCGCAACGTTCAATCATCTCAAAACTTCGACAAAGCCCTGATTCAAACTTTGGGTTACAGCCAAAAAAGTATCTTTAAGTGGTGTTTTACCTGACTCTTAATTTGAACCTCATGTCATTCGGATCAGTTGAATGTTTTTTCGAAATAAAAAGATCATTATCAAAAGGTTACTTAAGAGTTAAGAGTCGTAAAGGTTAAAAGGGTCTCATAAAGTATGTACTTTGAAAATATCTTCCAGTCTCAAAGAAGGAAAAAGATTTAATGAGAAAGATGTGTATGTTGGAACACATTTGCCACCAGGTTTCACTTTAATTTAAAGTCCTTTGCTGTAAGAAAGAGCCAAACTGCGTTAAAAGTTACTCCAGCAGAGCTTCAAACTAATGAGAGAAACCTGGCGGAAATAAAACACTCTGAGCCTTCATCTGGAAGTTATAAAATAATATATATAGTAAATTGCATATACCATTGACCAAACTTACTGACTTATGTGTTTAAGAATGATTTAATCACACAAAAGTATAACACGCAAATGCGGCCAGGGCAGAAAAAAAATGTTTTACTAGGAGTGTCAAAGAGAGGTATTATTATAAGTCCTGGGATCTTTTCGCGGGACGGTACCCAGTTCAGCACCAGCATTCGTGGTAAGGCCTTCAATCCCATTGCCTATACGCACTGCCATAGTAAAATAGATGTTCGAAAATGAATAAACAGTCAGATATTGATAATT